CGTGCGCATATACCGAAACTTTGCAATCACCTTCCGCCCATATCAGTATGAGTCCGGCTTCAAGCCTTACAAGTTTGGCTAAAATCTAACCTTCTAGACAGGAGTTATTGTCACTTCCTGTTTTGTCATGAACGTAAAGGACTTCCTTTAGGCTTTTCAACATGTCATATGTGGTAATCGACAGTTAGCGAACACAGTTTCAGCCTTAAATCTTACACAGTGACAAGTTGGAAGAGTCATCCAATAATCATCAGTTTTTTCTCTGAGTGGGCCGGGCTTAAAATAAGTCATGAATCAACACCAGTGTGTCTATGCACAAAAAATCTGGTTCAGATCAGATGATGTATCATTGAGATATAACTGTTGGAATAATGTAGGGGGCGCACTTGAGTCAAATGTTAAACCACATTATCAATGTGTCTATATAAGTGATCACTGATCACGCACAATAAATCTGGTACATATTGGATGATAATTCACTGAGCTCTAACTGATTAAATAATCTAGGGGGCGCACTTGAGTCATATGTTAAACCACAATACCAATGTGTCTAGACATGCTCACTGATCACGCACAATAAATCTGGTGCAGATCAGATGATGTATCACTGAGTTATAACTGTAGGAAGAATGTAGGGGGCGCTGTGGAGGCTATTGGCCACTTATCATGGCTTCCTGTTCAAGGGGTGGATAATGATCGATCAAAGTGATTTTGGTTCACCTCAGTTCAAATCTGTTGAATTTAGAGCCAAACGTATGGCAACAGCGTTACGTCTTACTTCGCCATGTCGCAACGCCCACATGCTCCACCCAAAATTGTCAGTGTTTGAAAGCAAGTTACACCAACATGTCTTCGGTCACTGGACTTTCTGTCATGGTGATCAGGTAACGGGTCAGATAGGGATTGTTCAAGGTAAAACTTTACACTTCCTGTTGTCAAGGGACGTGGCTTAAGTGATGTCATGATTTGACCATTCAGTCTTGCAGGGGACCGGATGTGGATCATTCACTGAAGGTTTGATGTCTCAGAAGTTTTTGTGTAGGAGCTATTAGCTTTTTGTTTTTCATGGCGAGATGTCAAACTTTCAGGTCTGGCCCCGCCCCTTCAGCATATCTCAAAATGAACCGTTTAGATATCTTTGCGTCCCCCATGCCTTTTGACCAAAATGGCCAAGTTTGAAACTGATTGAGCGAAATCCCTAAGAGGAGTTTGTTCAAATGCGGAGGCTGTAAATCACCAAAAAGGTGTGAAAATTGGGCCGGCATTCCAAAATGGCCACCTTCCTATTTATCGTACAACATTGGTGCCAGAGGGTTTTCTGTGCATCTTGGGGAATTGGACAAGTGTACCAAATTTCATGTTTCTACGACAAACAAAGGTTAATGTGGATGGTATTTTGAAAATTTCTAGGTGGCACTCTTGAGCCATTTCTGTTGCGATTTTTGCCACGCCC